GGAGCCTATGACTGCTGAAAAGGCAGAGACAGACATGAGAGCAAAATTCCTGCAGCATCAAGCAATGCAGCAGGGATCACAACTGTAGAATGCAGCTTGGGAGGTCCAGAAGTAGTTCTCAAGAACAGGAAATTTTAGTCTTCTGAAATACAATTAGCCTTTAGATTAAAGTGTCTTCACTTACCCACCCAAAGCACCTTGCCAGAATCAAGGGAAGAAAAAACAAACAAAAGAAAGCAACAAAACCCCAAACACACTGCTAATTGTATCTCCATCCTAATCACAGCAGAGGAACACAATGCATGAGTCCATCTCAGCTTGCCAAATTGCAAATGCTTGTCCAGTGTAGCATCTGAAAGCAATTTGCAGTAATTTTCTATAAAAAATACTTCACTGTCAGATCAACAGCAATGGGAAAGCCTTGAATTAGACCACCCCCGTCCTACTCCACAAATACCTTTGGTATAGACTGAAAGAACTGCTAAGAGCTCCCTCTTTTTAGTAAAATTTTTCCATGTGTTTCTTTGCAGGTATACATCATTCTTAGTTGTTCATCCACTTGGCAAGTTTTTCTGTCTTCCACACTGTGCCCTTGGAATAACATTACCAAGTGAGGAAAAACATTCTTTTTGCTAGAAGTAAGTCTCTTCACATGAAAAAGCTAAAGCATACCCAGTAGACACATGCAAGTGTTGCAAAGAAATAACACAGAAAAGTTTATTTTCCACTCCAGGAGATCTCAATAACAACATCTCAAACTCACCAGAAGTAAACTTTAAAGTAATGCTGCAAAACACATGGGAAAACATACATCCAGCTCTTAAAAAGAGCAGGGAACTTCTTCAGGCAAGATGTGCTTCTAAGACTATTGCTGAAGGTGAAAATCCATTTACATTTAATATTACTATATTTGGTTTTCAGTTTGATAAAATAATTTAGGTTGGGAAAAAAACATTAAGACGATCCAGCCCAACCATTAACCTAACACTGCCAAGTCCACTACTAAAACATGTTCATATGTGCCACATCTACACATCTTTTAAACACCCCAGGGTTGGTGACCCAATCACTTCCCTGAGCAGCCTGCTCCAATGCTTGACAAACCTTTCAGTGAAGTCTCTCTTTACCAAAGAAACTCCTCTCAATAACAAGAGGCTTTGACTAAATAAGGATTTGGGGACTTTTAATCACATAACACTATTTTACAATACAAAGATTTGAAA